ATAGAAGCTGAGTATGTTGCTATCACTGAGGCTAACAAAGAAATTATTTGGCTACAAAGCTTTATGGTAGAACTTGGCAATGGTTAATTAAATGAAAAGCTTCGTAGTGACAGTAAGTCATTCATCTAACAAATATCACCATTTCATGCAAGAGCAAGAAAAAAAACATTCATCTAAGGTGTTATTTCATTCATTCACTCCTTGTTAAATTATCTTTGGAGAAGATACATACTACTCAAAAATCATGGAGAAACATTGACTAAAGCTATAACAGCTGATAAATTAAAGGTATATTTAGCTTTAATTGAAGTTCAACAAAGTTGGACCGAGGTCAGTCACATTACAGTTGATAACTATGAAGATGTTATAAATTTTGGAGGAGCATAATTGATTGCAATCAGTCTTCAAATGGGGGATTGTTAACATGTAGAGAGTCAATCAATTGGTCACTCAAAGCCCTCAGTTTCGCCGATAAAGCTTGATGGTGAGTTTGCTAGGGGGATGGGGCATGTCCCCCTATATATTATGTTTGGGGGCATTGTTGTTGACTTTACATAGCACCTAGAAGGTAGTGTCGCCATGCCTGGTATTGGTTTAGAATATGAAATAAAGACACTCCAACGCCTAGAGGGGAGCACTACAGTGCCCTAGTGCCGAGACTAGCAATACCGAAGAGCCCAATCAAGGTTTCATAACATGAGTTCGACACTTTAATGCTCGGAGATTAGCACCCCAACATATGTTGGAGCACCTCTGTGCCACTATCACGAAGCCTTAGTGTCGGTAACCAAATTCAAACAATTTTCACTTAAAGTTTTGGCTTCAATATAGGACTGTGCATGTTGTTTGTTGGATTTCAAGTTTTCTCGTGTAAGAAAGAGAAGTGTCCTGAAGCGTTCCAAACTATGCAGAGGCTTGTGTGGTGTGATTTTCATAATTCTCTAGTTTTCCTCATGTCGGGTTTCTTAGTGTGGTATAGCTCCATGCTTTTGTTGTTCTCAATTTTTTTCAAATTAAATCTAATGTTTTTTATGTTTTCTTTGTTTTCTTATGTTGTGTGTTTCTGTTCAAAGTTTTTATTCGAATCCCTCAAATTTTTTTCCACAATTTCTTTACTACCCACACTACCTCAAAGATGATTAAGGGCCAGTTTGGAGTTTGGGGCAGCTTATTGACCTGCGACGCCGTTTTCAAAACGCCGCCACATTGTTTGAATAGAGCATTAGTAAGGCATTTTCCTGTCGCTCCATAAAACCAATCCCAAATATCTTAAGGATGTGTGAAGCGGGAGGTAGCATGTGTCCCGTGTCTGATTACCACATTAGGGTAAATTTTCCTCCTGTGTCATTTGCTCGCTCTCCCATTCTATTCTCGCCCTCCCATTCTTCCTTCTTCCTTCTGCAACTTCTCTCGCGGAGATCTACATTGAGATAACAAAAATCCTCACTCTTGGCCTCCCTGATCTTCCTTCTGCTCCTTCTCGCCTCAAATGAGGTATCTTTTCACATTTTTTGCATTTCTCTGAGAAGAGAGATATGATATTCAATAGATTTTTACGAATAGAGAAAAATTGCAACATATTGCAAATAGAGAGAAATTTTTGCAAATAGAGAAAAATTTCTCCCTTCGCATTACTATCTCCTTCTTGCCCTCTCTAATCTTCTCAAATTTTTGCAAATAGAGAAAAATGACTACATGGATTGATTTGCTACAGAGATCTGGTTTCCATATAAATTCCTGTATGACTCTCGTTATCTATATATTGTTGGAGCTCGATTTGAAATTGCTGAAAAATGTGATCCGTTTGTCTGTTATTCTGTAGAGTTTGCAAAATTTTTGGATTTGCTACAGTTTAGTTTGCAATAATTTTTGGAATGTCTTTTCATTATTCTATTATTCTGTAGAGGCAAAATTGGATTTTCAAACCCATTATTGATGTTTTCGAATTGCTTATCAGTATTGTTTATTGAATTGCTAAGAAATTCATGTTCTTTTCCTAGCTATTCCTAATGAAATCGTATGGAATTAGCTGCAATGGTGGCTGAAAAATGGTCAACTCGTTAAAGAATTTCATTAGATATTGCTTACGTTCCTAGATATTGCTTATGAAAAATGTTTCATCTGTTCAGTAAATTCATTAGGAAATGTTGCATCTGTTCATTAGGAAATGTATGGAATTAGCTGCAATGGATATTGCTTGAATTAGTTGCAATGTATATTGTTGAAGTTCACTGCTTACGGAATTGTATGGATATTCTTTATGAAAAAAATTCTCTATAATTCTTTGGGGAATCTCAAGTTTCATTATTAATATAAGGCATTTAATTGGTGTTTAGAACAATTGATCATAAACGCATGGCGTATTTTTACTTGGTATTAATATAAAGCATTTACAATAAATGCATGGCTCCATTCGTTTGGTTATCCAAAGTGGATGAATGAAAATTGGGTGTTTCAAATTCACTGCTTAAGGTGTTTTAAGTGTTTTTTTTCTTTAGCAAACTTTAATTGGTGGAGATTTTTAACCAATGAAAATTTTATTTTTTTTTTCAATCCATGAATAGTATTTGCTCCAAAATTGATTTCAAAAATTCTTGATATAGATATCCATTACTTATCTTTATGTTACACTTGAAAATTGGGTTTCCTCCACCCTTTGGTTGTAACGAGTGCTTTCTCCATTACCTACAGTTTTTTGTTTATGTATTAGCTGTACTTTTTACACTGGATTGGTTTGCTGCAGTTTTTTGTTTATGTATTTGCTGCAGCTTTTGGTTTAATAGCTGCATTGGATGCAATTTCTGGTTTATGTATTTGGCTATAGCAGTTTGTATTGGTTTGGTTGCATTGGATGCAATTTCTGGTTTAATAGCTACAATGGATGCAGTTTTTGGTTTATGTGTGCAATTTCTGGTTTATGTATTTGGCTATAGCAGTTTGTATTGGCTTGGTTGCATTGGATGCAGTTTCTGATTTAATAGCTACAATGGATGCAGTTTTTTGTTTATGTATTTCGGGTTTCTGGTTACTAGCTGCACAAATTTGTATTGGCTGTAGAAGTTTGTATTGGTTGCAGTTTCTGTTTTTAACTGCAGAAGTTCAAGATTTATGGATTTGAAGCATCAGTTTGTATTGTTGTTTCCTGTTTTAGCAGTACTATATGTAGTAGTTTGTATTGGAGTTTTGGTTTTAGGGATTTTCTGCAGCAATTTGATATGTTATTGCTGTAGCAGTTTGACAGTTATGTATCCTACACAATTTCATAATGAAACATTCATGGTTTTTCTTCTGTGGATGTAAGTTATTGACCAAACCACATAATCTCGCACTTTTCTCCCTCTCTAACAACTCTTAGAAAAGAATTCTTACTTAAACTCGTCATAAAAACTCAAAACTCTAAGGAAATAATTGTATAATGGACTTTTAGTGGTCGGGTGATTTGTTAATTGCAATGCTGTGGAGATTCTTTGAGCATTATACTTTTGTTTCTTATAGTTCCAACATGTCTAAAGAAGGGGGTCTGTCCGCTATGTGGGATAAAGAAGTAACAAATATTTTTTGCGATCTATGTATTAAAGAAATAGAATTGGGAAATAGGCCAACAACGTACTTCGACAATGAATGTTGGCAGAATAAAGCTAGAAGGTTTAAAGAACTAACTGAAGAGATTATGATAGGCTTAAGTTTAAAAATATATGGGATCAATTGAAAAAGGAATGGAAGATTTGGAAAGAGCTAAAACATGGATCAACCGGGTTAGGCTGGGATCTAATTAAACGAACAATTGATGCTCCAGAAGAATGGTGGGCCGAGAAATTAGAGGTATGACTTACATTCTCAATTTGTGTATATCAAAAACTGTTTTAATTAACCGAGTGTCCTCAATTTAATGTTATAGGCACTACCGACAGCGAAAAAATACAAAAAGAGCGGAATTGAGCCGGATTTTGAAGAGAAACTTGACATAATATTTAAGGGGGTTGTGGCAACGAGAAAGTATGCATTCAGCCCTAGAGAGACGGGGTTTGAAGGAATACCCGATGATTTTCCACCAGAGCTGATGGTAGTTGAAGAAGAAATACAGAGTATTAACCAGAGGGAGATGGGGGAGTCAAGCTCACAGACGAAGAGGCACAGGCTAGGAAGAAGAAAGAAAGAAAGTGACACTTTTGTGAAAACTTCATTTAACCAGCTCATAGATGCTTTTGGAGCTCCGCCGCCTGGTCCACTTCCTGACAACACTATCTTTGATTGTTTTCGAACTTTGTCTACTATCTCTGAAGTAGTAGCACATAAGCACTTTCATGCAATATGTATGAGAAAACTAGAGGATCCAACATGTAGACAAATATTCATGGCGATGGAACTAGAGTTGCGAGTCGAATATTTACGTGTTCTTCTGGATGATTGAGTTTTTATATGTTTTCTTTTGTTGTATTATGTACTTGTATTATGTATTTTGTTGTATTATGTACTCTTTAAAGTTATATTCTCAGCTGTTATTTGGAGTTATGTTTTTTTTTAAATGTACTTCTACTTGATTCCTGAATCTGAATGTCTATTATTAGAGATCTATACATTTTTATTGTAACTGTCTAAGTGTTCTCATTGTTTATTTCTCGCTCGCTCTATTGATTAATAGTTGATGAACTAACCAACATCTTTCTTCCTTTAGGATGGATCCACAACAAGAATGCCGTAAGAGAATGGCATGGGTTGCAGCTATTGACATATTATTGTTGGAGTATTACCGATCAAGCAGTGTTCGCATACCCCGAATGACCTCCAGCTTTGTTGGGGATAAATGAATAGGTGAGATGTTTTTTAGACATCCAATTAAGTTCAGTAACATATTTCGAATGATTGTACCGATATTTATGGATCTCATGCACAAGTTATCTCTGAATCAGGGACTCTAAGATTATTCGAGAACGACGAGAAGGGAGATATTGGCTATAACGCTATATATTTTGTCACAAAATGAATAAATTAGGGGTGTTATGGAGAGATTTCAGCATTCATCGGAGACAATAAGTCGTTATTTCTTCAAAGCCATACAGACACTTATTAGTTTAGCCGCTAAAATCATCCGGTCGGAGGATCCATCATTTGTTAATACTCCAGGACAAATCGTAACTGATCCCCGTTACATGTCTTACTTCAAGGTAACTATTGTTTTCTTTACGTATAAATCAAAATATAAATATTTTCTAAGCTTATAAAACAGAACTGCATAGGTGCAATTGACGATACTCACGCTGATATAAGAATAATCAGAATACCCAGTCAGGACAAAGTGGCTTACATTGGTCGACATGGTTCAACTACTCAAAATGTCATGGCAATATGTGACTTCAACATGTGTTTCACATATGTTATGACGGGCAGGAAAGAGAGTACACATGATAGTCAGATTTTCTCCTATGCTACTAAGAATATATCGCAGGGTTTTCCTCATTCCCCTTCAGGTATGTTTTGATTTATAAAATTCCTAGTTATCGGTATTTATTGTAAATAACAACCTTCCATAATAGGAAAATACTATTTGGTTGATGCTGGATACCCTATGCAGAGGGGCTATCTGAAGACATATCCAGACACTAAGTATCATATTCTTGATTTTGAGCGAGCAAGTGACATTATTCGTGGTAAGAAAGAAATGTTTAACAAATGTCACTCCTCTTTACGTGGGGTAATTGAAAGAACGTTTGGGGTTCGGAAGAAGAAATAGGCCATCCTACGTGATATGCTGTCATATCCATTTGAGAAGCAGGTGCATATTGTGGTGGCAACAATAACACTTCATAACTTCATCTGACTACACCCTTCACGTTCAGATAAGAATTTTAGTATGACTGATAACGATGAGCTGAATGTCTATGAAGAACCATCATAAATTATAATCGGGCCTTCAGTTCTTGAGGATGAGAATGACTAATGAATTTTAAGTTCATGACGCGGAGGGTGTGGCTGAGATGGCTGCTCTGAGGGAGTTTATAGAAGATGCTATATATGGCAGCTAATCCAACAAGTTTTTCTTTTCTTCGTACATTATAGATCAATTTTTATGTGTATTTTATTTTTGGATAAGATCTGACATTCGTTTTTTTTGGTTTTTTTTTCGCAGTTATATTAACATGACTTCTAGGATTTCAGTGACATACAGAGTTATTTTTTGTTATTGCGGACTACCGGCTCCGTTCCTCACGTCGCGTCAGTCTTATAACTTTGGGAGACAATTCTACGGTTATCGCAAGGGTGTTTCAGCTCGTTGTGGTTTCTTCCGATGGCAGTCGTGGAAATCCGTTGTTTTCCCAGGTTGATAGTGCAGCTAAGAACAGACGTAATCAAAGTTTGAAATTGAATATTTTAATAGTTCTCATTGTAGTTGTATTTGTCTTTATCATTTTTTTTTTATTTTTTTCTGATACTCACGAGAGTGTGAGAACTGTATGTCATCTTTTGGAACTGATCTGTGATGATTTTATGATTCTGCAATATATATTTCTGTACTACCAATAAACTATTCTGAATAAGTTGTCTCAAACAGTTTTACCAGACATGAGCAAGAATGTCATTTATACAATCATAACTACCAATAAGTTATTCTAAATAAGCTACCTGAAACAGCAAGTTAGCTTATTCTGATAATCTACAGATTATCATATTATTAGAATAATCTACTTACCAGCATATTATAAATAATCAACAGTTGCCCCAAACAGACCCTAAGTCTTTATAAACATTGATAGAAATTCAATATTTTGTAATTGAGATATTACCTCCCAATAGAAACTTAATGACATCAAACTCGTCTGCAACACGTCTTTTGAGATTTTTAAATGAATATTTAGTTTATCATATAAGTAAAAACCTATAATCAAAATTAGCATCTATTCTTTGTAAAAAGAAAGATTATATTTTTTTTCTGAAACGGGTGTCTTTCAAAGTTTTTAATATAGTTATTCATTTTAAAGTTTTAGGCATTTTATGATACACTTACCTTTTAGGGCGTATAGCCTTCTAAAACTTTTTAATGTACATGTACCATCAAAAGCTTATAATTTTATGAGATCTTTTGTGTATTTGTATCGTCTGAGGCTTATAATCATTTAAAGTTTTTTAAATTTATATGTACATTTTAAGGCTTGTAGCATTATGAAACTTCTAGTGTATAAACACTTTCAAAGACTTCCAAGTTTTCTGAGATTTTTTATTTACATTTATATCTTTCGAGGCTTACAACCTTCAAAAAAATTTTAAAATGTAGATGTAGCTTCTAATGCTTATAGTCTTTCAAGATTTTTGCATATACATGTATCTTCTGAGACTATTTAATTTTTTAGATTTTTTTAAATCTACTTGTACATTTTGAGGCTTATAACATTTAGAGATTTTTTTAATGTAATTGTACCTTCTAAAGCTTGAAACCTTTTAAAATTTTGGAATGTGCATGTACCTTATGAGGCTTGTAGTGAAACCTTTTAAAATTTTGTCACATGGAATATAAAACTAAATCAATTTTTTTTAATTGATCAATCTCTCAACTAAAACTTCTTAAAAAAATGAAGATAATTATAACTATTTTGAAGATAAAATATTAAAATTCAAAGAAAGTTGTGCTAAATTTGACATATATTTGTCAGTGAGATTTAATAATTTAAAAAAAAAAGACACTGAAGAAAATCATGGCAACAAACCGACAATATAAACTTGCAAAAATAAATTAAATAATTATTTTTTTAGCAAGCATAACTAATTTACATGTCATAATTTTAAAAGAGGTCTAATGAAAATGCATCAAAAGGAGTAATAAGTTCTTTGAGCCAACTAATATTTTGCCAAGCTATAAAATAAAACTGAAAGGATGGCGCAGCAGATAATTTAAACAATCACAAATCTCCAAATATCCAGTGTGTGTGGAAGGATAAATTATTGGGTACGCACACCCTGACCGTAAATCATGGTGATCTACGGTCAGGATTATTTTGATTTTTTTTAAAAAAAATTTAAGGTGGGGCCCACCGAAATACATCGGGACCGGGGACCGTAGAATCGGGACCGTAGATTAGGTGATTTACGGTCCGGATAGGACACCGCACGCAGCAGCTTGCGTGCTTGCGTGCGGTGTCCGATCCGTATGGAATAATTTTTCATGTGGAAGCTCAACTGTTTGCCAAATCAAACTAGTTTCAGGGAAAACGGGGCTCAAATAAACAAGTATCAATTACAAAAACAAACTTTTCTTCTTTAAATTCTCGAATTACATTTATACAAGTATCCTGAAATATCAAGCTAATTCTATATCGGTAGTATAACTGAGGTGTAACACTTGCATTAATAAAATGTAAGAAACTTTGAAAAAACAAAAATCATTGATGAACCTGCTTCTTGACGTGATTTATTCCTCAGAGGGCCTCATCACTTCATATAGTATAAAAGAATGGCCAGTAAAATAACCAAGAAAGCGAGCCACAGGGTTGACCCTGGATTTTAACAAAACATGAATCAGATGTAAACAGACATTGTACACCATAATTTCTATTTGTTAAGGTTCAGTACAATATTAAGACAATTATAATCAAAATATTATCAAGAAAATTTAGATCGTTTACCGTTGTTCTTTTTACCCTCAATTACAGTCACTCTTGCAGTAGAGTCAAAGGAAGTAGATACCAAAGCCCTGCACACAAAAGAGAGTGGCTTAGTTTTAATAGCAAAGGTTCAACTACGCACAAAATCTGTGCTGTTTTCTTTCAATTAATTTAATAGTTCTGTAAAGTGATCTGATTCATAACCTGGAGTCTCGGGAGAAATCTAATGCAGTGATTGGACCGAGGTGTGCTTTATTAATTGACATCTGAGCCTTAAAATCTGAGGAAGTTAGGATTGCAATGTCACCTTCTATGGTCCCGCTGAAAATTCACATGTTATGCCTATAAATATTAATACACTAAGAAACTCCGTCTCAATGAAAGAATAATGCTGAAACACAAGTCTGCAAATGGAATTAGAATTAACACTCGAGGAAATCCTTATGAACATTACAGTTCAATTACAAGGCAATTGCGATGATAAATAATGCTTTCTATAACCCTCTATGGGTGCTACATGAACCGAATAACTAATAGCAACTGAAATCTTTCAGTTTGTATTGACGAAATCATTTTCTTAAACTATCCTCTGAAACCCTCATTATGTCCTCTCCGCTCTTGATCAACTGATATAACAAGTCTTTCCAAAACAAACGTTGCCAGACGACAATTATTATACTATTAGTTTTGGTAAAACTGTGAAACAACATCAATACACCAACAAAACATGGGAGAAAAGCACATCATTACCTTAATGAGTTCCAAAAAAAATCAGAAAGGGAAAAGCATAGCAATCTATAAATCAACATACATTTCAACCCACCATACTATAGAAATATAAAAGGAATGGAGATAAAAAGATGCAGTGGATATGATAAAAATATTGTTATGATTGCAACAAATTTATAACAGCATTGACTACAATGATTTAATAAGCAAAAATTCAAACCCTATAATTTCAGGCATAAATATAAATTCATATGAATTATATTCTAAGATAAGAATAATTTAAAAATTGAATTGCAAATTTAAACTTAGATCTTTCTTTAATTTTTCACCTCATTAAACCATTATCAATACAAGAAAGAAAGCAAGAGTTAGGCATGCTTGAGGACTGAAGCTAGTTCCTCCTGAACAGAAAAAAAATTGGGACAACTAGAGAAGAGAATTCTTCGATGATCAAAGAAGAGATCTTTCAGCATGAATTAAAATCACTATGTCCATTGTTTCTCTCTGTGGATCATGCCTTTCAACAAGGTAACAGAAGATTTTCCTATTTGTAGGGTTAAAGATTTGAGACTTCACTCATGGTGAGATTGGGTATACTTAGCTTAAAGAGGAGTATTTTCATATGCCCTATTTTTTGCACTCATGTGAGGCATCCATAGAGTGAACTAACTCCTCTATTCTCTCATGTGGATTTCAGCTCTAGCTTTGATAAACAACATAAATGTTTTAGTTTTGATTTGGTTTCTGGTTTCTATGTTGTTCCCTACTGTGTGCTGGCAATTTCTCCGCATAAGTAGGTTTGTTGAATACTCCTCCATCACTAGTATTATCTGCTTTGGATGTTCAGGCTTCAGGTACCTCTAAGAGAAAAGCCTAGTTGAGAAATATGTAAGTCTATTGAGAGTCCCTATGTTACTAAAACTTTTTATTCTCTATAACTATGTCATCAATGCTACATATGATTATTATGAAAGTGGTCGACCATTCAAGTTCAACCCAATCTCAAAATTCTATCAAATTGGTCTGGTGGATAAAAACTTTCAACTAGTTTTTATTCGAGGAGGAGCTAATAAAAAAAATCTTTCTCCATTCTTCAATATTTACTAGAATCTAAGATAGATGGAATAACCCTCTTAATGTTTTTGGCAATCTGAACATAGCATGTGTATTTAATGTTTTTGGCAATCTGGACATAGCAGGTGTATTTAATGCTTTTGGCATCCGTACTTAGCATGTGTATGAATGTTAACCTGCATATTTCCGCTTGGATAAAACATACACTCGGTTTTATATCATTTGATCTAAGTTATTTCATTTTTGTTTTTAGGATGACAGTCATTTTTACCTACTAGTCCACATAAAATTTAAAATGACTATTTAAAATATCTGTTGCTTTAAACAAAAAGAGTTAGTTTTGCAAAAAAGTGATTGTTGATCAATATAAGCATATTGTATTTATTTGGATAATTTATTTTAAAATTTTCTCATCCCTTTCTTTAGCTTAGTAACGCAACATCCATCATAATCAATATTAATATTTTAACATTTTATTACTTATTTCATATCATTTGCATTTTAGGTATTCATGGAATACTAACTTTTAATTATCAGAAATATAAATTTACAGTAGATGTGACCAAAAGATGCATCAAATTTAAACAAGGGGATAAATATTGGTAGAAATTTTTTCCAACAAGAGCTTTCAATAATTGATTGCTAGAAAGATGAGTATTTAAACTCATTTAACACATTGGAACAAATGCTTCGAATTTCAGGAAATTCTTGTTTTCGTATAGTCTTCAATGAATGAAAATTAACCTTATTTTCTAAATCTAATACCAATGTCTTGTTTCCTTAAAAATTCACATATAGCGTTTATTAAGACAATGCTAAAAGACCTATTTTAGATGCCATAATAGACGAAATGATTGCGCACCCACTATTGATAATAGATATCAAAATATCATATGTACTAGCATGTGATGTTTCATGATTTTTTTCACCCACCTAAGGTAGAGATTTATTGATGTAAGTGGAATTTAAATATAGGACCATAACAATAACTTTCAAAGGTCCTTACCAAATGAATCAGCTCGCATCAACAAGATACAATATAGGAAGCACAACAATTATGCCTATATTTTTTTCACAAACCTCAAATTCTTAATTAAATGGTACCTAATTAAATGGAGCCAGATATATTTCATGCAAACCTATATTTTAAGTATTGATTCCAATTTTGCTGTTTATTTATTATTATTATTGAAAACATGCCTCTGAAGCTCCCTATAGAAAACTTATTAAATTATCTTCCCTAGTTTGGTTTTATATTGGTGTCCGTCCAATTATATTTAGGGGCTTTTACATACATAACACTCAAATGTTTCATATTTACCTTTCTCACAACCAAACTTTCATAATTATAAACATCATAGAAAAAGTAGCACTCATTATCATCTTTTAATAGTCAAATTCATTTTTCATCCATAGGTAAAGTGCTATGTGAGTAAAAATAAAATTTTAGGTGTGAGAAAGGTAAATCCATAAGAAATTGGTGCTATGTAAGCAATTTTCCATTATTTTTATCTGTTATATTGTTAGTTAAGCTGAGACAAAAGTTATCTGTCCATTATTGTTTTGGGCCTTCAAGGTCCGACATCCTTTCAATGATGGGCCAACTGGCCACTCTAAAAATTACTTCCTTTCCAAGTTTAGATTAGATATACTTGGTAAGTTTGTAAATTAGGAGGAATTGGGTTCTCTATATATTTACCTTATGTGTGAATAAGTCAAGTAAATTTTCCTCCCAAAGTTTATTTTTCAACACAATATCAGAGTTGTTCTTCATTTGCTTGTCACAGCCGCTACTCATCTTGGAGGTCGAGACGTACTCAGCGCTTCGATCCTTGTAACCTTCAGTACCATTGCCGATCTCTACCTTTGATGTCTTAAGCGATGTCTCCACATCTTCTTTCGTCAAACTATCTTCTATGTTATCATCTATATCTTCTCCCTTTGACGTCTTTGACCTGGTCTAACTTCTATGTCTGTCTAAAAGCTGAATTGTTGCCCAGATCTACAATCGCCAAAGCCTCACCAACAACTGCCCAACAGCTATAATCCTCCTTGTAATAGCTAGAATCTCTCGAGCCAGCCTGCAGGCCCTCCTCTACTCCCTTATCCAACCCTTAATGTGCATAGGGTTTATGACCAAGTACGAAATGAAGAGGTCTAGTTCAACTTTGGAGATTAATTCTGAATCAAATATCAAGAATTTTGTCAGAACAACGCTCTCCACTTCTATCACAAACCATAAAACTCAATGGTCATTACTTCCTTCAATGGTCCCAGTCCATATTTATGTACATTTGCGGGAAAAAAAAGTGGAGCATCTCACGAGAGAGGGCACGGTTCCTAAGTTCACTAATCCTAACCATCGCACATGAAAGATTCAAGACCAAATGGTTGTCTTGACTAGCAACTCAATGACCATTGAAGCGAGAGAATTTTTTGCTCTACAAAACTACCAAAAAAGACTAGGAGTTACAAGGGAAACATATTTCAGCACTGAGAATGCTGCAGAATTGTTTGAGATCAAGCATCATGATCTTCATCAAAGAGAGCTAAGTGTCACCCATTACTTTAACATCTTGACAAAGTATTGGCTAAAATTGGATATGTTTGAGACATGTGTGTAAATGTCCACGTGATGTCATGATGTTTAAATCCATCATTGAGAAGAAAAGAAATATCAAATTCTTAGTATGACTAAGGAAATGAGGTGAGAGGAAAGATCATGGAGTAAAACATCTTCCATCTACCCGTGAAGTTTTTGTTGATGCAGGAAGAGAAGAGAGCAAAAAGAAGCTGATGTTGACTGAAAATGGGGTTCAGCAAATACTGAAAGCTCGACCCTGTACATACATAATTCTTTCCACGACTCAAAAGTTCAAAAAAGAATCATCTTGCATATGATTATTGCAAGAAACTCTAGCACCTCAAAGACAAATATTGGAAATTCCATGAAAAGCTTGAACATTGGAAACCTCGAAATTGAAGGAAAGATTAAGAGAACAAGGCTAATGTTGCTACCACATCTAAAGAGTTTGAACCATTCACCAAGAAAAAACTTGAAGTGCTGAAAAACCTTATTGGGCTTAATTCAAAACAACACACCAACACACCGGCCTCGTAACATGCCAAGGTAATATATTCTTCTCTCGTCTTGCCAGTAATGAGAGATTTAGACCTTGAATCATAGATTCAGAAAATTCTGATCATATGACTGAAAATATCAATGCTCTAGTTAACTATCAAGGGGTTTTTACATCTAGATCTAACAGACTTACTAACGGATCACACTAAAAAATTATTGGAAAAGAAAATTTAGAGCTCTCTCAAAATATAACTATTTTTTCTATTTTATATGTTTCACATATTGGCTGTAATTTAATTTCAATCAGTAAGCTTACTCATGATGTGAAATACATAATTAAATCCTTGCAACTCTAGTGAATTTCAAATGGTGAATTCGTGGATGGTGATTGGCAGAGTTGAAATGTATCAATGCTTATACATGTTCAATAAAAATC